TAGTTGGGATTACAGGCATCTGCCACCATGCCCAGATATTTTTTGATTTTTTAGTAGAGATGGGATTTTGCCACATTGGCCAGCTTGCTGAGCCACTGTGCCCAGCCTCATCTAACTTTTTCTCTGTAGAACAAAGATATGAAAGAACCAACCTTAAGCCAAACCTATCATTTTTCACTGGGGGTAACCCCAGTCATCCCACCCAACTTCACGGTCATACTTACTAGCGGTAATGTTCATTTGGACATTATTACCTGAGTGGCCTCAGACAAATGATTTATCCTACCGGTGCCTTCACCTCCCGATTTGTAAGATGGAGATAATAAAAATGCTGTCCCTATAGTATTGTTCATCTAAACATTTGTTAAGAAGGTAGCTCACAGACCAAGCATGGTGCCTCACTCCTGTAATCTCAGCACTCTGGGAGGCCGACACAGGTGGATCACTTGAGGTCAGGAGTTCAAGACCAGCCTGGCTAGCATGAGAAAACCCCATCTCTACTAAAAATACTAAAATTAGCTGGGCGTGGTGGTGTACGCCTGTAGTCCCAGCTACTTAGGAGGCTAAGAAAGGAGAATCCCTTGAACCTGGGAGATGGAGGTTGCAGTGAGCCAAGATCGAGCCATGGGACTCTAGCCTGACTGACAGAGCAAGATTCTGCCTCAAAATAAATAAATAAATAAAAGAAGGTAGCTTTCATATTAATGTTTTTATCACAATACTTTTTTTAAAAAAGAATATCAGCTGAGCTCAGTGGCTTACGCCTGTAATCCCAGCACTTTAGGAGGCCAAAATGGGTGGATCAAGAGGTTGAGATTGAGACCATCCTGGCTAACACTTGAAACCCCATCTCTACTAAAAATACCAAAAAATTAGCCAGGGGTGGTGGCATGCACCTGAAGTCCCAGATCCTAGGGAGGCTGAGGCAGGAGGATCACTTGAACCCAGGAGGCAGAGGTTGCAGTGAGCCAAAATCATGCCACTGTACTCCAGCCTGAGTGATAGAGCAAGTCTCTGTCTCAAAAAATTTAAAAAAGGATATCTACCTCATAGTTTATTAGTAAGTTAATAAGGGTAAAAGGATTAGCACAGTGCCTGGCACATAGTATAAAATAAATAAATGAAATAGACAGCACATCTTCTACTGTTCTCTAATTGCTTCTATAATCTCATAGTCCTGACAATACTATGAGCTGTTTAAGGTCAGGGACCACACCAGCACTGTGCATTCCTGTCTGTCTTCCTTTCCTCAGTGAACTTAAACTAGAGCTAGACATGTTAGGTCACCAGCAGACAGCTGTGCAGAAATGCACAGGAGAAAGCAGCCTGCAATAGAGTTGTCACTCATGCTAAGCAATGCCTTTAGATCCATGGCTGCCAAAATATTTGACCCCAATGCATAGTAACAAATAATTTTTAGGTTGTAACCAAATACACACCTGCATATGCCCCTACGTTTTATGATATATCTCTAAATGAAATAAAAGTTTTATAAAAAACAATACTTACTCTGTTCTTTTTTTTTGAGATGGAGTCTCGCTCTGTCACCCAGGCTGGAGCGCAGCAGCACGATCTTGGCTCCCTGCAACCTCTGCCTCCCAGTTTCAAGCAATTCTCTTGCCTCAGCCTCCTGAGTAGCTGGGACTACAGGCACATGCCACTATGCCTGGCTAATTTTTTGTATTTTTAATACAGATGGCGTTTCACCATTTTGACCAGGCTGGTCTCAAACTCCTGACCTCAGGTGATCTGCCTGCCTCAGCCTCCCAAAGTGATGGGATTACAGGCGTGAGATACTGCACCCAACCAACTTAATCTATTCTTACTACATAAAATATGCTCTGATCTTTCCTAATCTAGTTAAATCTAGTCCGGTGATTCTCAAACTTAATTGTGCATTTAAATCACTTGGGGATCTTAGCACTTGGAATCAGCAGGGTTTAGGTATGGTCAGAGATTCTGCATGTCTGTTATGCTCCCAGGGGACACTGCTGGTCTCATGGACCATACTTTGAGTAGTAAGAGCCTCGTCTAATCTATTTAAAGTTCTGAACCCTTAGGCTAAAAGTCTTAGGCTGGGTGGGAATGGCTAGGGGAGCGTGCCCTCAGCATGAATGACTCATACTGACTAAGACTGAAATGCCTGCTGGGTTCCCAGCCCTTTCCTCATGTCTCAAGCCTACACCTTGCAACCATATTCATTAAATTGATGAAGCACTTACTATGGGCAGGATACTCAACTGAGTACTTTATACCTACCCCAGTGACTCCTATAGCTACCCTATGAGGTTATCCCCATTTTACAGATGAGAGAAGGTAAGTGTCTAATAACTAGTGAAGCTGGGTTCCAGAGGCTCTGATCTCAGGAGGGCGAGCCTCCCAGATGGCTTCAGCGATCCCTGCCTCATGGTATTCACGTCTTGCGTAGCCTCTTCCACACTGAATAGGACCGACCTTGTCACCAACAGATTATCGAGGAAATGAGAGTGTGTGGCTTCCAAGGCTCAGTTAGAAAATAACATTGTGGCAACTGTTTCTTACTCTCTTGGGCTGCTGTCTCTGGAAGAAGCCAGGTCGCCATGTCATAAGAATTCTCAAGCAGTCTTATGAAGAAGTCCCTAGAGCAATGGATTGAAGACTCCTGCCAACAGCCAGTACCAACTTGTTAGGCAACAGATGAGCCCTGTGGAAGTGAGTACTCCAGCCTATCAGGTCTTCAGATGACTGTAGTTCTGACCAACATCTTGACTGCAACCTCATGAGCGACGCCAAGCCAGAGCAACCCAGCTAGGCTTCTCTCAAATTCTTGACCCACAGAAACTGCATGAAATAACAAGTATGGATTGTTCTGCAACATTGTTTTGGGGTCATTTGTTATGCAGGGAAAGATAACCGTACTTGTCCCTCAGTATCCATGGGGGATTGGTTCTAGGGCCTCCTTCGGATACCAAAATCCAAGGATGCTCAAGTCCCTAATATAAAATTGTGTAGTATTTGCATGTGATGGGACTCAGAAAACAATACCCAGAATGAAGTTCTCAGAAGCAGCCTCAAAAACGAATGTTTCTCTGACCTTGTCCTGCCCTCCTGTCTCTCGGTCCCATTTTCCCACAAGGCTAGCCATAAAAACTGGGATCTCTCTTCCCTAATGTGTGTCAGAAACCAGAACCCCATTTCCTCAAAGCCAGTCATGAAATCTTAAACTACTCTAACTTTCCCTCTGCTGTTCTGTGTCAAAACAGGTCATAAAGAAATTGTCTTACCTACATTGTTTAACTGTAGGTCGTGGGACTCCCATTCCAAGCTGACTGAGGTGGCTTATACCTGTAATCCCAGCACTTTGGGGGGCTGAGGCAGGTGGATCACTTGAGGTCAGGAGTTCGAGACCAGCCTGGCCAATATGGTGAAACCCCGTCTCTTCTAAAAAATACAAAAATTATCTGGGTGTTGTGGTGCATGTCCGTAATCCCAGCTACTCAGTAGGCTGAGGCAGGAGGATCACTTGAACCTGGGACGTGGAGGTTGTAGTGAGCAGATCATACCACTGCACTCCAGCCTGGGTGACAGAGAGAGACGCCATCCCCACACCCAGAAGGAATGAATGCTGCATAGAGGCCAAAAAGAATCTATAAATATCAGCCTTGTTGGGCTTCTCTACTCAGTCTACTTACTTTAGATCATACACTTTTTGTCCAATCATATTTCTACACAACTGTCCATACTCTGTTGAACCTAAGCATAACAATGGGCAATTTTCCCTGTATCTTTGGGTTTTCATTCTGAAGGCTCCCATACATGATAATGAATTTGTATGCCTTTTTGCCTATTACTCTGCCTCTTGGGCCAGGCATGGTGGTTCACGCTTGTAATGGCAGCTCTCTGGGAGGCCGAGGTGGGTGGATCACTTGAGGCCAAGAGTTAGAGGCCAGTCTGGCCAACATGGTGAATCTCTCCCCTAAAAATGCAAAAATTAGCAGGGCATGGTAGCTGATGGTGTGCGCCTGTAATCCCATTGTAATTCCAGCTGCTCAGGAGGCTGAGGCATGAGAATTGCTTGAACCCGGGAGGTGAAGGTTGCAGTGAGCTCAGATTGTGTCTCTGCAGTCCAGCCTGGGCAACGGAGGGAGACTCTCTCTTAAACAAAACAAAACAAATCTGCCTCTTATCAGGGATTTTCAGCAGATCTTCAGAGGGCAAAGCAGAAAGTGTTCTCTTGGTCCTTACACGTGAAACCTATGTACATCCTTTTATACTTCAGATCATCTCTAGATTACTTGTAATACCCAATACAATGTAAATGCTATGTAAGTTGTTGTTATATTGTACTGTTTAGGGAATCATGATGAGAAAAAAATTTGTCTATATGTGTGCAGTTTGGACACAATTTTTTCCTCAAGACTTTAAATTTGTGGTTGGTTAAATATACAGATGCAGAACCCACAGATACAGAGGGCTGACTGTAAAACACTTCTTAACCAGTAACTCACATTGCATCATCATGATTCAGCCCTAAAACGAAAGTGACACTTGTATGAAGGCTCTTTGGATTAACTCTTCATTGTGGCAACTTACATCAAGGTTCAGGAGATGTTCATTTTCCTCTAACAACCAACCTTCTGGGAGACACCTACTTCCCAAGTCCGTATTATATGTGATTTCATGACTTGCTTTAATCAGTCAGATACAGAGCTGTGGTGTTACGTTACAGCCAAGCAGCAGCTTTTGGAAGTGCTATAAGAATCTGCCTGCCCTCTTTAGCATCTGCAGTCATCTGTGAAAACAAAGCATCACAGACAGTGGATGTTCCTTTAGTCTGTGTCCCAGAATGAGAAGTCATGGAGCGTAGACCTGAATTTGACCCCCAGCTTGGAGACAAGCTGAGCATGTGCAGGGGTACAGCTGACTTACAGATTCATGAGTGAGAAATAAGTACTTGCTGTTGTAAGACACAAGATTTGGGGCTGTTTGTTACGGCAGCAAAAGCTGCCCAATACACTCACCATGCTGGATGATGCCATGCTCCATAAGCCGGTGGCAAAGCTGCTCTGCCTCTTTCCTCGTAGTGGCCTCACCTTCCTGGACCAGCCAGTCCAGGAATTCAGATGCCATGAAGGTACGCTCATACTTGACCCCTTCTTCCTCCCTGGGCTGGAGAAGTGTGTTTTCAGGGCTCATCAGCCTAGAAATTTACAAAAAATAAAGGAAAAGAAAAATAAACAAACCTACACAAAAGGAAACCAGCTCATTTGAAATCACAGACTTCTGTTAAGTGCCACAGCGAAGCTGTCAGACAGACGGATGCAGCTGTCAGGTGCTACCACACGTGTAATTTCTAAGAGGAAGATCTGCTTCAGAAGTGAACAAGATGCATTTTCTCCTAGTAATTAGAACAAAAAAAAAAAAACAACTGGAAATACAATCCAAAACTCTACGATTAGCAGACTGCGTTCAAGCTGGCAATCTTGAAAAGCAGTTATAACTGACTGACCGTGTTCTACTCTACCTTTCTGAAAAGGCTAGTGTTTCTTTCCTAATGGCATTATTCCACTTCTGTGCTAAGAAGAAGACTAGTGCTGTGAACTGAGTGTTTGTGTCCCCCCTAATTTTTTTTTTTTTTTTGGGGGGGTGGGGACAGAGTTTCGCTCTTGTTGACCAGACTGGAGTGCAATGGTGCGATCTCAGCTCACTGCAACCTCCTCCACCTCCTCCCCGGTTTAAGTGATTCTCCTGCCTCGGCCTCCATGCCTGTAGCTAAGATTACAGGCATTCACCACCACGCTTAGCTAATTTTTGTATTTTTGGTAGAGATGGGGTTTCACCATGTTGGTCAGGCTGGTCTCAAACTGCTGACCTCAGATGACCCACTCGCCTTGGCCTCCCAAAGTGCTGGGATTCCAGCCGGGCACGGTGGCTCACGCCTGTAATCCTAGCACTTTGGGAGGCTGAGGTGGGTGGATCACCTGAGGTCAGGAGTTCAAGACCAGCCTGACCATCATGGTGAAACCCCATCTTTAAATAAATAAATAAATAAATAAAAGCAAAATGCTGGGATTCCAGGCATGAGCCACCGTGCCCGGTCATCCCCGTTAATTACCTTTCATGAATCTCTAGTCTCTAATGTGATGACATTGCAGGTGGGGCATTTGGGAGGTAATTAGGTTATGAGGGTAGAGCCCTCATGATGGCATTATGTCTCTATAAGAAGCGACAAAAAGGAGCTTACTCCCTTTCTCTGTCTCTGATCTTGCCCTGTGAGGTCATAGGAGAAGACAGCCATCTGCAAACCAAAAAGCGGGATCCACCCAAGAAGGAGCCACTTGCAAACCAAGAAGCAGGTGCCACTGGATCTGCTGGCACCTTGATCTTGGACCTCCCAGACAAGTATCTGTCATTTAGGCTACTCGGTCTATGGTAATTTTTTATAACGGTGGCCTGAGCTGAGTAAAATAACTACGTAAGTCACTCTTTTGTAATCCTCCCATACCCACGTGGCTTGCTTCTCTTCTCACACCTGTCTTCCCAGGCTTGACAACTCTGGACTCCATTTCACATCTCCAAAATAGCTCCAACTGGGTCTGTAAGTTTTCTCCTATGCATCCATACATGATGCAATGTAAATTTCAGTCCTTATTCTGGTTGACATTAATACCAGTATTTGGGGCTAGGCATGGTGGCTCACGCCTGTAATCCCGGCACCTTGGGAAGCTGAGGTGGGTGGATCACTTGGGATCAGGAGTTTGAGATTAACTTGGCCAACCTGGCAAAACCCCATATCTACTAAAAATATGAAAAAATTAGCCAGACGCAGTGGCACATGCTTGTAGTCCCAGCTACTCAGGAGCCTGAGGAAGGAGAATCACTTGAACCCAGGAGGCAGAGGTGGCAATGAGCCAAGATCATGCCACTGCACTCCAGCCTGAGTGACAGAGCAAGACTGGCTCTCAAAGAAAAAAGAAAGAAAGAAAGAAAAACACACAAAACAATGAAAGGACTGACCACTGCCCTCAGCTAGGGGGACATCAGTCACACTCTACTGGTTTCCCTCTGGCCCTCTGCTCCTCCCTCTTACTCAGGTACCCTTGTGTTGGCTTCTCTGCCCCTCCCTGGACTTTAAAGGCTGGAATTCCTTGAGATTCAGTCTCTACATACCTCTCTGCTCATTCCAGTCTCTCCGGTGAGCTCCTTCATCTCCCTGGCTTCAGTTACCATCCACATTCCAAACATTTCCAAATTTCTATTTCCAGACCAGGCCTATGCTCCCAACCCCACGGCTTTGCCTCCGCGTACACTTCTCAAAGCCACCTCAAAATCCGCAAGCCCAAAAATGAACTCAAGCTCTTCCCTCCAAACCTGGCCCTGTGCCAGTCAGTGCATATGCTGTCCAGCCAGAAAATGAGGCATTGTCCTTGGCCCTTCCCTCTTTCTCACCCCTTGTCTGGTCATCAGTGTGAACGTGAACTTGAACTCCTACATCTCTCTCATGTACGTCTAAGCCTTCCAATCTCAGGCATTGCTACTACCTTAGTCTAAAATACCAATACCTTTAACCTAGACAACGACAGTGTTTTCTTAATTGACTGTACAATGCATCCACTCTGATTCTCAACCCAACCTTGGACATCTAAGTCTAGATATAGCTATGAAATTATCTTCTAAAAATTCAAACCTGATAATGTCCTTCCTCTGTTGAAAATACACTTCAAGCCGGGCGCGGTGGCTCAAACCTGTAATCCCAGCACTTTGGGAGGCCGAGGCGGGTGGATCACGAGGTCGAGAGATCGAGACCATCCTGGTCAACATGGTGAAACCCCGTCTCAACTAAAAATACAAAAAAAAACTAGCTGGGCGTGGTGGTGCGTGCCTGTAATCCCAGCTACTTAGGAGGCTAAGGCAGGAGAATTGCCTGAACCCAGGAGGCGGAGGTTGCGGTGAGCCGAGATCACGCCATTGCACTCCAGCCTGGGTAACAAGAGCGAAACTCCATCTCAAAAAAAAAAAAAAAGAAAAGAAAATACACTTCAGGCCAGGCACGGTGGCTCATGCTTACAATTCTAGCACTCTGAGAGGCTGAGGGGGGCGGATCACCTGAGTTTGGGGGTTTGAGATCAGCCTGACCAACATGGAGAAACCCCATTTCTACTAAAAATACAAAAAATTAGCCAGGCGTGGTGACATGAGCCTATAATCCCAGCTACTCCGGAGGCTGAGGCAGGAGAATCGCTTAAATCTGTGAGGCAGAGGTTGTGGTGAGCCAAGACTGTGCCATTGCACAAAAGTGAAACTCTGTGAAAGAAAGAAAGAAAAGAAAGAAAGGAGAGAGAGAGGAGAGAAAGAGTGAAAGAAAGAAAGAGAGTGAAAGAGAAATAAAGGAAGGAAGGAAGGAAGGACCATGTCGCACGTGAGATAAGAAAATAAAAAACGGGCCGGGCGCGGTGGCTCAAGCCTGTAATCCCAGCACTTTGGGAGGCCGAGGCGGGTGGATCACGAGGTCAAGAGATCGAGACCATCCTGGTCAACATAGTGAAACCCCGTCTCTACTAAAAATACAAAAAATCAGCTGGGCATGGTGGCACGTGCCTGTAATCCCAGCTACTCAGGAGGCCGAGGCAGGAGAATTGCCTGAACCCAGGAGGCGGAGGTTGCGGTGAGCCGAGATTGCGCCATTGCACTCCAGCCTGGGTAACAAGAGCGAAACTCCGTCTCAAAAATAATAATAATAATAATAATAATAATAATAATAATAAAGAAAATAAAAAACAAAGAAAGGAAGGAAGGAAGAAAGAGAGTAAGAAAGAAAGAGAAAGGAAGGAAGGAAGGAAGGAAGAACCATGTCACATGTGAGACAAGAAAAGAAAAAAAAAGAAAAAAGAAGGAAGAAAGGAAGGAAGAGAGAAAGAAAGAAAGAAAAAGAAAATATACTTAAATACTACTCATTGCTTTTAAGATAAAGACCAAAAAACTTCTTCACATAGCCTATAAAGTATGCATGCTCCTAGCCTCTTTCAGTTCTTCAAACACACCACGCCCCGTCTATCACTGGCCTCTGGACACGCCGTGCCCATGGCTGGAATGCTCTCTCCCTTCTCTCCCCACCAGCCCCCTCCCGTGCCTACTTGACTTCCTGTTTTGCATCTCAGTGATGGTGAGGTCTCAACTAGACCATCTCGTTGCTCCTTGTATAGTTTGTGTGATTAAAGACAGCTCGATTACAGGCTCCAGGAAGGTTGAGTCCATGTTTGTCCACAAAACTGTCGGGTTTTTTTGTTTTTGTTTTATTTTGTTTGAGACAGAGGCTCTGTCATCCAGGCTGGAGTGCAGTGGCACAATCTCAGCTCACTGCAACCTCGATCTCCGAGGTTTCAGGTGATTCTCCTTCCTCTGCTTCCCAAGTAGTTGGAACTACAGGCATGCACCACCACGCCCAGCTAATTTTTTTTTTTGTATTTTTAGTAGAGACGGGTTTTCACCATATTGTCCAGGCTGGTCTCAAACTCCTGACCTCAAGTGATCTGCTGGCCTCAGCCTCTCAAAGTGCTGGGATTACAGGTGTGAGCCACTGCACCCAACCCATAAAAATGGAACCTTATGAAATGCCACAGTCATTGTGTCACCTTCCTCTATAAAATTATTCCTGATGAGTTCCTGTCTTCCATATGAAAGTCTGGCTGTCTCTTAAAAACCTTCATTGCCTTTGAAACTAACAAAAATCTACAATACAAAGTGAATGATTTCATTCTAGAGTAGGAAGAAACCTTGGAGATCATTGTAGCCCAAATCCTCTTCATCCACATGAGAATGTAGTTTTTATTCAAATGAGAAAAACTGAAAGGCAGCCTGCAGTGTAGTGGGAAGGAAACTTGCTTGAGGTCATGCAAACACTCACTCTATACCTATCAATCACTGCATTTGGAGGTAATTAAGCCTCTGTACCTGAATGCCATACGATGTTTATTTTCAATGTGTTTAGACTCGGAGCCTAACCATGCTGTAGAAAGAACACTGGACCAGGAATTCAAAGATTTAGGTTTATCCCAGTGAGTCACTTAGTAGCTTTGAGATGTAAGGCAAGCCACTTTTCTTTTATTCAGCCTTGTTTTTCTCGAGAGTATAATGGTATCGTTACCCAGCTGTTGTGAAAATCCTGAGTGTGAATAAAATAACCTTGTAATACAAAAGAAT